TGCCTCTCTCTCTCTCTGTCTGCCTCTCTGTCTGTCTGTCTCCCCCCACAGCAAGGGGAGGGGTCTTCTTGGATCACAACACAAGCTGGTAGCTGGACCCGTAGAGAGGGCAGTGGCTACAGTTCTGTGCTGTAGCTCCCTCATAAGGATGCCAACAAAAAATGGGTTTAGCCTGGGGTGGAGCCGACAGCCTGCACAAACAGACATGACAAATTTTTTTTTTTGCATAACGTTGCTATGTATCAGAAGGCATCAAGTGCTATTATGCACTTGGTGCTCTCTGGTGATACTTCCGCTTTAATATGCATACCAAGCTTATCAGCACAAATTACACCAGATGGGACAAACTAGAATGCTGCTGGGTGTGCTTGAGTATTTAAAGCCATAGTTATAAAAGAAAAAAAGCACCCTTGTCTCTTTTGATAGCTTGGCCTGAATATAAAAAAATACATTTGCATGAAAAATAAGGAATTGTATTGATATACAGCCCTCTTGACTTCCTGTTATATAAATCATGATCAAGGTAAATGTGGCGTTGTGTATATTTGCTTCGCTTACTCACAAATTTTAGGGTTCCTGGGAGGTTTTGCCATAAAATGAAAGCCATGTAGCTAATGCACTTTTTAGTGTATTTGAGTGAGTGTGTGACAGTAGGGTAAGATGGCTTCTGCGTTTACATCCGTATCTAATCAGAAAGGTACTGGGAGAAAATCTGACCGCATCTTTCAATATACCTAATGTTACTATGATTTTCAGATATGCACTAAATTATGCTGTATGCACTTACCAGATCTGCAAAACTCAATCTAAAACTTGTCACGAGTTCATGTCAGTTGGCTGCTACTACAGATCAGTGATCAAAATAGACAATTGGTGATTAGATTAAAAATTGCTGTTTTGTTGGATATTGGGGCCTTAACGGTGTGGTATGACAAAAAAAAAATACTGTTCTCTAATGTTTTGGTGAAATTTTGTTTGTTCCAGGTACGCAAAGAAAACCAATGGTGTGAAGAGAAATGAGCTGGTGGTGTGTCCCTTTGACAGTAACACACTGTATGATTTGTTCTAAATAGTTGCACTGCTCTGTTTATAATAGACAAGTCAGCTCAACAGCTTACCATTTAGCAGCAGGGTGTTTTGCTGCATGTTTTTTGTCCTGTATACATATATTTTCCCTCCCCAAACTGTGTTTTTACCATTGTAATCTTGTGTGACATTTACTATTAAACTGTAATAAATCTGTGATTTGTGTGCTTCGAAGACACAAGGTGAAATCAAAGTTATTTTCCTAATGTTATCTCAACCAGTCTGCTTAGTGTGTGAACACAAAGAAATCCCATCTAATGCGTTACGGTTTGGAAACAGAGGACTCTTATTGTCACAGCTGTATGTCACGCTCCACAGCATAATGACTCACAACAGAAGCCATAACTGACAGTTCACGCAAGTCTTACACATTTTCATTTTTTCAATTGTAATCTAATTTCAACACCAACCACTAGAACGTACCAAAGGAGGTCTCATCGGTGCTGCTGTTTAACATTAAGGCAAACAGTCAATCTCAGCACTGTACAATGTACATCAGAATTTGGTCTTTAGCAGAAAACTTTGGTGTCTCAATCTATCAATAAACTTGAGGGGGAAAAATTACTTGTATGAGATTTTTTTTCACTTCCCATATTGAGTACACTACAAGAGAAACGTGATTTTATAATTAAAAAAAAAAAATCAATGTGCAGCACCAGCCTAAATGTTCTACTTGACATCAGCTCAGGAGATCCAGTTCTGTAACTTGATCTCCGCTTTCTCCTATGTAAATGTATTTATCTTAGTTCTTGCTAATGCTGCTGTTTGGGGGTAAAAAAGAAAATGCCAAACATAGGCTGTGCTGGCTTTATTTACTCAATAAATTGGATTTGGAATTTCAGTATGCCATTCCTCTGTTTGACTAAACTTAACTGTATAGATGGCAACAGTACCATCTGCATTACATCCTATCAAATGCGGTTTACCAGCTTCCAGTAAACCTGAATCGCTGATTGTTACGCATTTCTGTAGCATTATCTTATTTTGCCCAGGGTCTATTTGCTTGTATCTTAGCCCCCGCATACTTAAGCTAGAAAGTGGTATTGATCCTTGTCTTTAGAAATGTTTTGAGTCCTACTACTGTTTCTGGCTTGCATTGTTGTTGACACCCCACCCTTGCATAACTGACGGCCATGAATCTACTGCGAGTCAAACCACATGGTTCCTGGTCATTGAGCTCCATATAGTCTAATGAAGTATCCTCTAGGTGACACTAGCTTTGTGGATTCAGTGGTCCCCTGTGGATTCTTTCTTGGTGTATGTAAAGAATGTTTTAAGTGACTAACCGGTAAATTGTCTAGGCTGTCCCGATAGTGGGGGTTTTGGGAAGAGAAGTCTCAGTGAGGTAACAGATGGTAGTAAATAGCTTATGGGATAAACACAGACTTGCTCTACCTAAAACAAGTTATTAGATTTAAGTATGGAGCATTGATGTCTTCTGTGTTACTGAGTTGAAGAGTCTGAATTGGAGGTCTACTAGGAAAACACTTCTTAACATTAATGTTCTTGAAAGGATTGTGAATGCCTTTTAGACTTTCAGGTTGCTATCAAACTTAAGATATGGTTTTTATTTATACTGATGTCTCATTTTGGCTCTGCCAGTAACCTGATTTAAATTCAACAGAAAGCTTGTAGAGTTTCTACGTTTGTATTTGTCCGTACAGATACAGCTGTCCCACATGTTTTCTCCTGTTGCTTCTATATTTGCCTTATTTGATGGTGTGTTCTCGTAATACTTTTAAACTAACTGTAAGAGCAGGTTTGAACTTTCCTAATAAACTGAATTTAAATTATTTTGTTTCCATTTATTTCAGTTTAAATTTGAAGTCTATAAAAATCCTTATTGTCATGGCTATTTAATTCAGAAATACAAAATGACTGACAATGGTATTATGGTGGTACCATGCAAATCCAAGTAAAGAGAATAGCTGGCACAAGTTAATATACACACCAATGCAGCCCAAAATGACCTGTGATCCGGGCACCTAGAATCAAGATATGCTGCATTCCTGGTTCTCCCTTTTCTAGAATAATACTGGTGCCCCAGTTTATTTGCCATACCTGTTCAAAGAACCCTGCACCGGAAACTGGAAGTAATGTCCCTTGCGTTCTGGAAACGAAGTGACATCTCGCAAATGTGCAGACACCTTTACTCAAGTGCCAGCCAATAAACAAGGTTTACAAGTTGCATGGCAACCATCACCATGGGAGCAATAAATCTTTGTACAAAGGACTGATTATAAAAATGCTAGTCGTTTTCCCCATCCCTTGGTGCCCATGATTAACTGGTATCTGGCAGATCTGCAGATTATGACACAACTATCCACCCAAACAAATATAAAAAGGAGTAACAAAAATATTACAGACATGAAAAACCGTGTAAAAACATCCATATTCTGAAGAATCTAGTTATATTGTAACTCGGGCTGCAACAAGCATCGATTATAATCGATAATGAGATTAGTTGGCAATGATTCTCATCATCGATTAGTTGCCGCTGCTCTGCTCCTCCGTTCTCCCTGCTGGTGCTGGCTGCAGCGATCTGTGTCACTTTTCCTGCTCTCTCCACCTATAGCAGCAGAGGCAGCGGGGACACAGACCACTTCAGCCGCTACCAGTGGCGAGGAGAGACCGCTGCTGTCCCGGTCCTTCTCTGCTGCCTGTGCCTCCTCTGCATCTAGAGACTGGGAGCCATACCCAGCCTGCTTTTGGATATTTTAAACTGCAATAGCAGGTTTGCTATTGCACCTGCCTGCTGTCAATCAGCAGAGAAGGACCTACTGGAGAACAGGCAGTGGGTGGGTGCAATAGTTAGCCAACTACTGCAATTTGAAATGTCCTATAGCAGGCTAGCTATTGCACCCAGCAATAAAGTAAAAAAAAGTTTAAATTAAAAATGTAAAGCGGAAGACGGATGGCTGACCTAAGGGGGGTGTAGTCTGCTCCAAATGCTCGTGGAGTGGATGTGATGGAGATCTGCCCTGTTGGTGTACCTATATGCCGGGGACTCGGGACGCTCTGCCTGGCATACCCATATACCGCATCAGAGTCCCTACTCACACTGTAGACATAACGGCAAGGGGTGTGAGCAACTCGAGGGAGAATGGGCAGGAGGGGACTAAGGTCTGGAGGAATTGGAGCCTCGACTCCTGGGACCCTGAAGAGAAAACTGATTGCAGAGATGGAAGTGCAGCGGGAGCCAGCGAGCCCAGTACTGAACCAGAAGACATCAGAGGTAAGGCCCCCTATTGGGGTCTCTATACAACAAACATCCCCTGATTCCCCAGGTGAACTTATGTCCCCTCTGCTAGTTGGACATGGAGAAAATATGGAGCTGGAAAGTTCACTAAGAATCCTGCCAAGTAAGTAAAGCTGATAAAGCACAAATGCTACAAAACTTAGAATGCTCTATTAAAATGAAGTGGTGAAGGTGAGAGTAGTTCTCTCCCTCTTTTGAAAAGAGTGCAAGAAAACAAAGCTTGATAGGACTCTCAGGAAAAAGCAATGTGTGATCTTCAGGGAGCACTGGGCACAGTAAGCAATAAAGATCTATGTACAGTGGGGAAAATAATTATTTGATCCCCCGCAGATTTTGTAAGTTTGCCCACTTACAAAGAAATGAGAGGTCTATCATTTTTATCATAGGTGTATTTTAAATGATAAAGACAGAATATCAACCAAAAATCCAGAAAAACAACATGATACCAGTTCAGTGAGTAAAATAAGTATTTGATCCCCAAGCAAAACATGACTTGGTACTTGGTGGAGAAACCCGTGTTGGCAAGCACAGAGGTAAGCTGTTTCTTGTAGTTGGTTACCAGGTTTGCACACATCTCAGGAGGGATTTTGGTCCACTCTTTTAAAGATAAATTACTCCCACGTTTAGCTAAATATGTGAATTCATTGACGACAGGAACCTTGCTTAGATCGGAAACTACTTTAGCACATATAACAGTAATTCCTAAGCCACATAACGATCCCACGAGGTGTGGGAGCTACAGACCAATGTCATTGTTAAATATTACTCTGGGTCTTAAATTCTGTAGCTCCGTCCCACGACAAGCCTTGGAGGCTCACATATCCTGTACGAATTATCGACCGATTTAGCTGATCAATGTTGATGTGAAATTGTTTGCCAAGCTGATTGCTAATCGGCTGAATCCTCTTCTCCCAGGGGTGGTCCACCCTGACCAGGTTGGGCTTGTCCAGGGTCGCGAGGTGCAGGATAACACCATCAGGACCTTGCTGTTGATGCATTATGCTCAAACATCCCATACCTCACTCTGCCTACTATCGGCGGACGCCGATAAAGCGTTTGATCATCTGGACTGGACTTTCCTCAACCCACACGTTGCTAATGGGTATGGGTATTTGTCCTCGTTTGTTGAGTAACATTATGGCCTTTACTCGAGCCCATCGGCCAGGGTCCGAGTTAATGGTTCCCTTTCTCCTAGCTTTTGGATCTCTAATGGCACCCGACAGGGCTGTCCACTATCCCCCCTCCTCTATGTCCTCACCATGGAACATCTGGCGGTGGCCCTCCCACAGAACTCCGCATTTCAAGGCGTGCTTGTTGGCACCCTTGGTCCAAGCTTGCCCTGTTCGCAGATGACCTCTTGCTCTATATCAATCAACCCCATATTGCCATGTCTACTATTTTACAGGAATTCACCCGTTTTGGAGCCCTGAGCAACTTCCGAGTGAACATCTCTAAATCAGAGATTCTGAATGTATCCCTAGGGGAAGCAGACCTGCGTCTCCTCGGCAGTAACTATGCCTTTCGTATATGTCCCACCTCCTTAAAATACTTGGGGATCCAACTTCCTAGTGACCTGGCTGATCTCTACTCCCTGAATTTTCGCCCCCTACTTGGAGAATGGAGAATGTTTCCCGGGACCTGGCTTCCTATGACCATAAGTTTCTCTCTTGGTTGGGTCGGATTAATGTACTCAAAATGGGCATTGTTCCTAAGTTCCTGTACCTGTTTCAGACCTCGCCCACTGCTCTCCCTGCCATCTACCTGAGACAAGTTCAACGGGTTTTCGCAACCTTCGTGTGGGGCTCTTCTCGTCCCCTG